CTATCTATCTATCTATCTATCTATCTATCTATCTATCTATCTATCTATCTATCTATCTATCTATCTATCTATCTATCTATCTATCTTAATTGAGTTCTATAGATAGGGATGCACGGTATATCGGCAATCACATTAATATCGGCCGATGTTGATCATTTTTTTAGAATATCTGTATTGGTCTGATAAGTAAAACTGAGCCGATGTTAACGCCCGATATTGATTTCCCACTTGTTGATCTTTGCGTTTCTGTTTTGGGAGGGGAGATTATTGTTTGAGCAGTATCCGTTTGATCATGATAGTGTTAGTGATGCTGCTCAGCCAGGAACTGAAATAGAGAGCCATACTCTGGTTGTTTTTTTACGGTATTGAAAAAAGACAAGTGTGTTTGTGCAATATCATAAATATTGGTTATCAGCCATAACTGCAATATTAATATCAGCTATCAATATCGGCTGAAATATTCATATCGGTGCATCTCTAGTTCCAGACAATTTTTGTGTTTGCTAATGCCAACTAGAACAGTGGCAGATGCTGGTCTTTCAAGAAGGGGAAGCTCAATTTCGGCCTAAATCATAAAATGTGTCGGTTTATTTATACGTAAATTCTACTCTCCGTTCCTTTTCAAGAAAATGATCTGTGACCCTGTCACAGATCATTTTACAACACTTCCACTCAGCCAGCTCACGTTGTCATAGCAGGACAGCTGAAAAGACCTGTTACTTGTCACCATCTTTTTCACCAAATTAATCTGAGGAGTTGATCAGCCCTGCTGTTTAACTCTAAGTTTTTCTTCGTAAGGAAGATTATCAAATGGCTTCGCCAAAATCCGGTCCACAACATTCAAACTGTCTGCCATCATGTGCAGCTTGCTACTGGTGCAAAACTAGTGTGAAGTGTGTCCGTCTGTGAGTGCTTTGTGACAGTGGTGGGGCTCAGCAGCACCAGCTGGACAGAAACTGCGATAGAAGTCAGAAAGAGTGATAGAAGTCCGTCTCCAAACACAAGCAGCTACAAAAAAAAAAAAAACCCACCAGAAGTAGAAGCTCGATTTATCGCTAGTCATTTTTAACAAAGAAAATGTCACTAAAAGGATTAATAAAGTCTCCAATTCAACTCAGAACAGAATGAAACTAAAAAATGATCCCACGGACGTTTGTTTACACCAAAAGATCACTGATATGCTCATTTTGCTGTCAATCAAAAAGGGATTCAGCCTCCAACAGATCATCCAATCGCAGAAGCTGAGCGTCCGGGCCAGCCGAGGCCAGCCCCTTGTCCTATAGACCCCCAGAGACGCTGAGTGTCCAATGGGCGGGACAAAGTCCAACATTTATCCAATGACTCGTCTCGTTTTGCTGCAGTCTTTGCTTCACTATTGAACTCTGTGGAAGCTCAGCGTCCGCACAGTTTAAATCACCGTGAAGCTTTGGGAATGAGAGAGAGGAAAGCTGCATTGTTACCAGTGATGGGAAGCTGATTCTGAACAAAAGTTGAGTGCATTGTAGCACATATTTAGTCAATGACAGCCCTACTCTGTACACACAACAGTATATATTTGATCACTTATTTTTGAAATTTTAGGGGAAGCGGAGCTTCCCTTGCAGTCTTAGAGCAATCGCCTCTGATGTTGAATTGAGTTGACTCCAATAGCTAGCTGTAGATGCACATTTAATGATGACTTCCTGAAAGTTTCATTAAATTCTGTCCAGTTTTTCATGAGATACAGTATTATTAAATTTACACACAAAGACGTAAAAAACCATTATTCCCATTTTTCACCTTTCTGCAACAAACACAATTTGTACATTTTTTAGTGTAATGTGTCTTGTTTTTTTACCATTCGGTTTCTGCCTACTGTAGAATTCTCTCTGACTCTTCTCAGCCATCACAAGCAGTTACTCTAAGACAGACACTTATACAGTTGTGCATTCATTATATTGATCCATGCTTACACAAGCGTTAGCACTCACTTAGAATGAGAGGCATGTCTTCACTCAAACATAGCAGCACAGAGCACACATGCATACAAATGCGCACAAACGCTAATTTAAAACATGCACCGAACCACGCAAACTTGTCCCTGACTAAACACACGACTCGTTCCTCCAACTTAAATTATATAGCAGTCGACACATTCATCCAGTGTGTATGATTTAACAAGGTCCATGCTGTCTCATCATTAATCATATTAATAATCTGAGCCTCACATTGATTTTTGTGTTCTTAAGCTACCTCGGTACATTATTTCCAGCCTTCATTGCTACTTTGATGAACCCCACACACACACACACACACACAAAGAAAACACCAAACTGCTTTTCTTTTTAGAAGTCTTTATTCATCTGTGTAGAAAAAAAAGACGACAGACCAATAAATGAAACAGCTTTTCGCACCCATTTTTATGTTTATACATAAGAGTGTTTTCATTATCACATCTGAGGTTTTTTTTTTGTTTTGTTTTTATTTTTACAGGAAAGTATTTCTAGAAAGAATAGATGGTAGCTTCAGTGCTCTTAAAAACTGAATTAAAAAAAGCAAATATAGATATAAAGAAACTAAAAAAAAATCACACTGGAGCTCCTCCATTATTATTGGTACACAGTAACACAGGATGCAAAAGAGACAAAGTACTACTAAAAGAAAGAATGGGTTTCAACACTTAAAGGCTATATCTAAATCTCCTCTCTAAGTCCTTGCTCTTTACTCATCTCTTTCTATCATCTTTCCCATTTATTTTAAATCTGGATGCTTTTAAAACCTATATATTTTTTCTTTTATAGTCCTCCTTCAGTTTGGGGTTATTAGTGAGAGGCAGTCAGAGAGCAGGTGCCGCTTTCCCCGTGGCCGTGGTTCGTGTTGAAATGCACAGTGTGGCGGTCGAGCTGCAATCCCTGTTAACAGAACTGTGTTTATGCTGCGCTAAGGCCATAAAACTGGACAACCTGAGTCAACAAAAGTATTTCACTGCCAGCACTTCATCAGCTTATATTAGACACGTTTTTTTTTTTTTTTTTTTTTTTTTTTAGGTTGGTTTGATTTCCCAATTAACTAACGAAGTTGAGTCAGGTCGTCTGGACAGGTTCATCGTTAAACGTTTTTTTTTCCAAAAGCCAGCAGGCAGAGGAGTTGCAGGCAAACTGAGTCTTATTAGCAGTAGCTTCACAAAGATGCACTTATAAAACTGAGTTTGCCTGCAACTCTCTAAACTGAAAAAGTCTTTTGGTTAAAACGTTTCAACAAAGAAAACCTTGTCCAGAGGACCTGAATCAACCTTGTTAGGTTTTTCTACTTGGATTATTGAGAATGTATCAGGACAATATCCTAATTAAACTTAATTTTATACAAATTAAAGTTTTTTTTGTGAGCAGATGACAATGAGACATAACAGGTTTATGAAGCTGCTATTTTATTGTTTATTTAAATCAGCCATTTGGTAAAAAAATAAACAAAAGGGATAGTTGTGAGATAAGTGCATTAAAGCCACTGGTGCTTCTTTTAATGTTTTTTTTAAAGCCGAATTAAGAAAATAAACAAAAACATAAAATTAATGTTAAAATGAAGAAATGTTCAGGATTTTAACTCATAAAATTACTCAATTGTTGGAAAATGTTTGCACTGTGAAATCTACTTGGTGCTATTATGACTTTAAAATCAGACAAAAAAGTGGAACATTGTAATAAAGTACAGTTATTTCAGGTTTTTGTTTATTAAAAATTCAAAGGTAAACTTTTCTTTGTCTTTATTTATACGTTTTCCAATCACTGTCTCAGTACATAAATGTCACAATGTAAAATCACATTTAATATTACAATATCCACTTATTTTCCTATTAAAAAAGAAAAACAATAATAACCAGGCTTTTTAATTGACCTGAACACAGATGTTATGATTGAGTCTCAGAGCTCAGTTGTTTTAGCATCCTCCAGAAAAAGCTCCAGCTGCTAAATTTTATTTTCCATTAAAATGTCTCCTCTGAAAGATATATGGGCTTCTATTAAAAGATGTCTGATTAGTTTATTTCTCTTCACTTGAAAAGACGATTAAATCTAAGACCAGACCATGGCCAAAACTGGGTTCATGCAGTTCTTCTAAGTTCAGAGATTTTTTTTTCTTATTTACTGTTCTCAAGCTTGTAATTTGTCTTGTGGTCTTGGCAATCATTTTATCCTTTGGTTGACTGGCCTTTCCCATCTTCGTGTTTTTGTGTTATTTATAAAATTATTTTCCTCATAATAATCATAAAGACGTTTTGAAAATAGCATGCAGTCTTTTATCACTCATATTTTTTGAGTGCAGTGGACACAATCTGGGCATAACTTCATCCGTTTCTGGATCACACCACATTATTCCAGTTGTCAGCCTTCTCCCCCCCAATTTTCTTCCCCTTTTGTTGTCTTTTTTGCCTCCTGCCACTTCATTGGTCACACGCCATTTTTTTTCTAAACTTAACTCCCATTTCTTTCTTCTCCGTCAGCATCACACCTCTCAGATACTACATCCCCCAAACAGCACCCTTCTCTGTTCCCCCTCGTCTCCTTTTTATGTTCTTCTTCTCTTTCCACCCATCTATCCATCACTTTCTCTCTCTTTCCCACTCATTAGTCTACCCATGCTGTGGTTTGTGTCTTCCGTCTCTGTCAGAGCTGTTATCACTGCTGTCAGCTCCCTTGGCGAGAACAAAGTCGTCCTCTGCTCACAGCACCACAATAGACACGAGAGGAGAAGAATAAAAGGAAAAGAGCCTTAGCTCTAAAAGAAAATCTAAAAAATAAACAGAATAAGAGGTGGAGAGATGGATAAATTAAAAAGAAGGGGAGTAAACCAGAGGAAAGGAGGGAACTAGTAACACATATTTTCATGTCAACCATGATGCATTGTCATCTGTGGGTTATAACAACCATTGATTTCTCCTTCCGTTATCTCTTTTATCTACACAGCACAGAGCTTACAGTTGGTAGGAAGATACGAGTGCTATCTCTATACACATCAAGTGCCTTTTTCCTCATATTATAAATATATCTCCCGCTAAATCAGCTAAGCCTAGTATATCAACCTCAAATAAGTTACTCTGTAGTATTATGAGCTGAGAAGGCTTGAAAGACACTGAGAAATCCAAAAGAGGAAACTTAACCATTTATAACTATAAGCAGTGCTGAAAGAAGACCCTACTGTACTTCGTAGGATACAGTAGAAGAGTATAGTGGGACCCTTACTTCTGTCACTCAGTAGCAGTGTCCCATCATCATAGCTCAAATCAGTCTTATCTACTAAGCAAACCAATCAGAATCAAACCAGCAGAGGCACGGAGGGTACTTTGGAAACCAAGGACAAAATGCCACAAGCCGAGAGGCTTTCGTGGCTCAAAAAGAGCATCCTTGCATCATCACGTGTAGGCGTAATCTATGTCAGGGATGCCAGCCTCTCTGTAACCACGGTTGGTGCCATAAGTGGCATGATGGTGGCTGGTTTGGCTGATGATGGTGCCATTGAGGCTGCCAGCTCCATGGCTGCTCCGGTACGTCCCATTAGCTTGAGAGGAGGAGGAGGATGGGAAAATGGTGTGAATGTAGGTGACATCCTCCAGCTTAGGTTGCAGGGACTGATGGGCCATAGCTGTCATCTGAAACCCTGCCGGGGGAGCCCTGATTTCTAGGATGGAAGTGTCTTTCTTGGTGCCTGACTCTACATAGTCATCGTAATGTTTTCCACCCCGGCCTCTGCTGTATGAACCTGAGTCCCCGGACATGTAACCTGATCTCTGTCCATACCAGCAGAAGATGCCAAAGATTAGGAGCAGGCTTACCAACGCTGTGGCACCTCCTATAATCCCAGCCAGAGGCAGGGCTGTTAGCTCTAAGTCCTGTCCCTCCTTTTCTGATCCCACCCCTCCAGAGCTGACCACAGTCTCTCCAGTCTCAATCTGAGCACAGGCTGGAGCTGAGTATTTGATGTCTGTGTCCATGCTGCCAGCTCGAGACGCACCCATACTGGAGCTGCCAAAGGAGGCCTCCTGTCGTAGCGGCAGCAGGCAGATGAGGTAATGGGAGCGTGGGGTGAGCTGGGTGAGGAGATACTGCCTTCTCTCTCCAGGAACTAAAGTTTCTGTTATTGAACCAAGAGCTGCACTGCTACCCAGTCTCTGCCATGAAAGGCGGAAGGAGGGTGCTGGCTGCAGACACAGCCAACTCACCAATACACTGTCAGAAGAGAGAGGTTTTAAAGTCAGCTCTAAGGCCTCTCCAGATATCTGTCCACCTTCTCCTGGAGGAAAAGGCATAATGAGGCCAGGTCGCTTGACTCTCAGAGTAAAGAGGGAGCCTTGTGTGGGAACCAACAGAGAAGCAGTTGTGGTGCTACTAGAAGAAACTGCTTGGCTTCCTCCAACTTCATCCTCTCCATCTTTCTCTGCTGGGTTCATCCCTACTCCAGGACTGGGACCGGCAGGAGGGCCTTCACATTGTTCCATCAGTGATGTTAGGTCTCGCAGTATCTGGCCCCTTACTGGCTCAGGTCCCTGACAGGCGAGACCTCTAACCGTCACTGCTGACCCTCGTCCATGAAGCCAAGCATGCAGCCAGCGAAGGTTGCACCCACAGTACCAGGGGTTTCCTCTAAGTAGCAGAAGCTCCAGGCTTTCAGTGTCTCTCAGAAGTCCCCGAGGGAGACTGGTCAAATTGTTTCCTGACAGATCCAACTTCTGCAGATGCCGCATCCCATCCAGTGCCCCTCTCGGTATGTGGGTCATTCCGTTGTCTTGCAAATGCAATCGAATAAGGTGGGCTGAGGGCAGGTTGACTGGTGGAGACTGCAAGGCATTCCTGACTAGTGACAGCTCCGTCAGGTTAGAGAGACGAGAAAAGGTGTCATCTGCAATGCGCGTGTTGGCTAGCAGGTTCCCATCCAGGACTAAACGTCGCAGGGAAGAGAGCCCGCGGAACGCATGTGTAGGAATGGTGCTGATTCTGTTGTCATCTAGTCGTAACTCTTCCAGTGAAGCTGGTAGGCCCGCAGGGATGCTTGAGAGGTGGTTCCGAGACAAAAACAGCAGCCGAAGCCGTGGAGTCCCAGAAAAAGCTCTCTCCTGGATGCTAACTGTAGATATAGAATTATCATCCAGGTGTAAACGTTCAAGTAACGGTAACTTAGCCAGAGATGATCGAGGTAACGTTCGTATATTATTATCCTGCAAATGGAGCTCCTTTAAGGAAGGTGGGAGGTGTATAGGAAATTCATCCAACTGGTTGGCGTACAGATAAATCACTCGTATGGAAGTACTGCGTTCCAGTGACTGAGGCAGCCCGGCGTTGCTCAACCGGTTGCTCTGCAAGTAGAGGATGGCAGCCGTTAATGGCAATGGAGGAATTATGCTCAGGCCACGGTCGTTGCAGTAGACAAAGCCCTCGTCGCAGCGGCACACTGAGGGACAAACAATGCCGTCGTCTCCCTCGCCTGTCTCCATGGCAATTGCTGCCGCCGCCAACTCCAGCACCTCAGCCAATAAAGTGAGGACCAGAAGGAGCAGAAAGAGCCAATCGCGAAGCTCAGCAAGACTCTCGGCTGCCATGTTGGTGCCCAACTCCTGACCTAAGGAGAGGGAAAAGTAAATTAATACACAAAAAATTACCACCACATATTTGTTCACTTAAAGTTAAAGTGCTAACATGTCACATCAAATGTTTTTTTTTCCAAAATTGCTTAATTCCATAGTTTTATTTGTCCACCTGCTTGTAAGAGTTTGTCCTTTTCTAAATCTGAAGAGTTGAAGGACTTGGGAATGGAATAGTCAGATGCCCTTAAGAGAAACTGCCCAGTATTATATGGGTCAGAGCAACCAAGCAGAAGACAAACTGACATTTCGAGCCAGTGAGTGCAACGAGGGCTGGACTGATGGGCGATAAAGATTACAAGAATCAAAGAAGAGACGACAGAAATGGAGAAAATTGGACAGTGGCGGTTTGAAGTGGAGGAAAATAAGTGAAGTGAGATTGTTTTCCGAGGAGATTAACTGAATTGAAGTGAGTGACACAAAACTAAAATGGAGGGTAGAATGGGGAGAAGGAGATTAGATTAATTGCCTACAGTGCAGGGGATCCCTTTGAAAACAACAGAGGAATCAAAGTTGCTGTGACAGCACTGGATCTGACCCTGAAAATAAAATTATAACAAGAACACAGTCTGAAAACCAGAACTTTACGGCTTTCTGGATGTTTACTCAGATGCAATTTTACTTTTATTTGAGGTCAGACACTTAGAGAAACGCACACACTGAGCACAAAGTGCACACACTGTGCAGTCTCAATATAAGCTGACATGTATAATGCATATTTTCACTCAGTGGTTATTGTTCGTGAAATTTACCATAAATTATTCAAGGAAGTGGTCTTGAAATCACCAGAAATGTTTTAGTGAGATGTTTTACAGAAAAGCATTTTATCTGCAACAATAACGTTCCCTGGTCGATATTTTATAATTTGTCCCCAAACACATCGTCCACACAAACATCAGTTTACCTTTCAAATAAAACTATGTCTTTGAATTTATATCCATATGTGGGATAAAATAATACATGATGAGGAGAAATTATGAAGTCCTGTTGTGTTAAACTCTTATTTGAAGTCCTTTTTTTGAGTAGCCCGAGGCTGCAAAAAATGTGCCCTGATTTGAAAAGCCTGACTTGATTTGACAGCACATTTGATAAACAAATCTTCTAAGGGCAAGTCCCCGCCCTCCGCCCTGCAGCACATGCACATGTGTGTTTCTATGTGAAGTCTGTGCTACATGCAAAATTTCCCCTTGGCTGCAGTCAAAACCCATGTAAAGCAAACAAGAGATGGCAACAATAGAGGAGATGAAGAAAGGAAATGGGGGTGAGGAGACGGATGGAGAGTTGGCCAGTTGGAGGAGGAGAGGGAAAATGAGCTCCTGGCGGTAAAGACCTAAGTCTGTATCAGATGAGTTTGCTTCAAAATAAGGAATGGCTCCAAACACTGATTTGGTGTGGTTTTTTTTCCGTTAGATAGGTGTAAAAATAGCTGCATTTGGTACCTTTACATGCCTGTGTTGTGCGTTTGTGTGTATATGTGACAGAGATCTGTATCTACAACAACCAGCTCCTGTCTCAGCCCGACACAGACAGTATTTGATATGTCAAGGTGAAAAAGAAATGTGTGCGACGCAATTTAGCACGATCCCTGATTTTATTCTCCTTTTTTAAATAATATTTTTAGCTCAAATCCTAATATTTTCAGCCGTTCTTTGAGAGGCAGAAAAACTAAGGGAGAGATGCACACAAGAGGAAGTGTAAAGGTAGGAACTGAGACCAGATTGAGATGCTCTATGAATATCAACTAGCATATGTTTCGTTGCCACAATATCCCCACTTCCCTCTCGTAAATATCCTCTTGGCACAAGCCCGAATGTGTGTTTTTTCGCCCACATGCCAAGGCTTCCAGTAGACATGTTGCTTTAATGATTCTCAGATTTTCTGTCTTCCCTCGTCTCTAGTTCGATCTCTTGCTGTCTCCCAACTGTCTCTTCTCTCTGCGCTTTTATCTTTTTACACCATCTACCTCTCCGATCCGCCCACCTCTCCTTCATGACCTGTCATTATATCCACTTTCAGGTTTGTTTACAGAAGTGTCCGTGCAGTCATTCTCCCTTCTCTGTCGCTTTCTAATCCTCCTTTTTTATCATTTCCTCTCCAGTTGTCTGTTGATTTCTACACACTGAAGATTGGATCAATCAGTTGTGGCTTAGTCTTTCTGCCCGCATCTCCTCTCCTCCTCCTTTCCATTAAGATGCGGCAGACCACCTCCATCTCCTTTCCATTCTCTTTCTTTTACACTGCTTTTTCTGCCTCACCTTTCTTGCCTCCACATTTGCCTTTCTCTCCCTTTTGTGCTCCCCCAACCCCATCGTTTTAATCATGTTCTTAAAAGGTCTTTGTTTCTTATCGTGTAGCTGAAAACAAGGTGCGAGCGCGGTGAATCTTGATGCGGCGAACGCGTGGTGAGTGTAAAAGGGTCTGATCGACCCGCGGTGAGATTGCCGAGGGCTTTCTAACCTGTTCAGTCTCTGTGCCTTTCACGTCCGCCGCTGCTTTGTTTTTTGTTTTTTCCTGTATCAGGGATTTGTGGAGAGGAGTATTAAAGCGTCTTTACGTGTGATTGAGAACGTTGCCTTGGATCTCTCTGTGTTAGCACAGTTTCACAGCCTTCTTTGAATCGTTCAGAAGTGTAGTCTCTTTCCTCCTGGCTGTTGAATCTTCCTCAGCTTGGGTGAATTATGATAGGGATGATGATAGCCTGTACTCCAGGGCTCTACAAGTAGCTGCACCAGCATGGTTCAAAGCCGCCATGGCATCAACATTTCTGTGTTTGTGTGCAGATGTGCGTCCCACTGCCAAGATCTCCTTCTTTCTCTGGGTAAGGGGCTTTTAGGCCTGCCAACTTAAGTCATCTTCAGCGAGTGTCCAGAGGCCTAATTCTTCAGCCACCCCTTCCACACACAAATGCTACTGTTGGGTAGACAGCCAGGAGATAGATGAGAGCTTAAGGGTCCTTCTTGGAAGTCAAAAGCAATCCTGGATACTCATGCAAGCAGTGGGTCATGCAAAAATAGTATTTTGCTATGCTACACTTGCTTGAAAAAGGCAGGTTGTGGCTTTTAATTTCATGAGCAGCGAAGAGAGAAATGCAATGCAGCGAGATTTCTACAGCTCAGCAAATCTCAACAAAGAGTCCTTATCGAAGAGACCGATCTGTTGTTAAGGTTCAAAATATTACAAATATTACAAGATAAAAGTCACAGTTCGGCGATGATATTAAACACGTTTGTTGGGAATGACGGACGGGTTCACCCAGGCAAGACAACAGTCTCTGAGCTGGTTTCAAGGGGGCAGAGCTTCTCTCGCTCTGCCTCTCCGTTTCAGCTTCACTCTCCTCTGGTAAATGTTTGATTAGTTCCTTTTCAGGGTGCACAAATCAACTTCACAGGCAGCAGAGCCAAATGATTTCCTCTATTGTATGCAGTCCACTTTGAACAGCACTGCGCCGTGATTCGGTGTGGGAAGTTCTCTCTCAGCCGGGTAGATATGGAGTCTTCACCTCACTGATGCTTGCTGTAGCCAGTCAGCTGCTGGTTGGGAGTTGGTTATCAGCTGCCTAAAAAGACACAGACAATAGGAAGATTATAAGGGCTGCAAAAACATTCATATACTTTTATAACAAATGAGACTGAAGTTGATATAACTTGCTATTAATTTCTTTTAAACAGATTTGAGTTATTGCTCAAGTTTGTTTTCTTGTTAATGGAACTCTTTTTCTGATGAAATACAGTGTTTCACACCTGTTTATTTCTGAGGTTGGGCCTGCACTTTATTTCTAAAGTTCTGTAACTGCTGACCAGTGACCCATTTTGTGTTTTACTACATAACAAGTCATGATTGTGACTCAGCTGCGTTCCCAGTGGTCCTTATTCTGTTTTCTTATTCTGCCATGTGTTTAAAAGCCCTGGCAGAGGGTGAAGTAGGTTTTGTGCTCCTATACCAAGCTAACCAAAGCTACACAGCAGAACAAATTTTTTTTAACTCAACTGAGAGAAGTCTGAGTATACAAAACAGTTTGTTTGTAGTGGTGGGCATGGCTCTGCTAATCAGCCAACAGCTAATTTTTCGTTTAGCAGATTAGCCTTTTCACTTTGAAAACTGTTAGAGAATTAGTTAGCTTCTGCTAAATTGGGTTTCGCTAACTGTGAGTTTGCTAACAGCTAAAAAACAAACTAGCATCAACAGGTTTGTGTCAGTCCCACCAGTCTGAAACTGGAAGGAGACGAAGACGAGTGATGCAGTCTGAGTTGCAGTCGTCTTAGCTGTTAGCATTAGCTTCTGCTAATTTTTAGTCAGTGAAACAAAATTTTTGGTTAGCTTTGCCCACCGTTTGTCAAGAAAATCCTTCTGTTCCTCCCTTTTTATCTGTTTTAAATGAAGGACAGAGAAAACAATTCTGGGGTAAATGCATCTATTTTTTTTTTTTACTTTTTGGAAACAATGTGTTAAAAGCTGGAAATGTAAAGAAGGTAATACTGAAAATTGTTGTCTAAAAAGTTTTTTTTAGAGTTAACCATGCAAATATACAAACAAGAAATGCAGCCAAGTTAATCTACTTTAAATGAACTGTAAGATAAATGTGCTCTGTTGTTTGAGTTTGACTGAAGTTTTAGGACATTTACCAAAATCTCTTTATCTGCTAAAAGGGTGAGAAACTGTCCAAGTTTTATGTACACTTTCTGCTGTTTTTCAGAGAAATTAAACAGTTGGTGGGGATTAAAGAATCCACAAGATTTAGTTGAATGTCTACAGTTTGTGTCGATTGTTTAGCATTTTTTAAAATATTTAAAATAAAATTAAGCCAGATTCGATTTTTTTGTTTTTTCTAAAAGAAAACAAAAATTAAGAAAACAAATTAAACAGTCAGTTAAATGCCAGCACAGCAGTCTGCTTGTTTTTTTCTTGTTAAAATAAATAAAACATATGCTGTAATTTAATTTCTGGTAATTCTGTTTTCTCTTAGTTTTTTTCTTTAAATACCAGCTTTGTTTAAACGATGCCAAGGCATAATTTTGAGTTTCACTGTTGGCACAATGTGGAATACTAAAAGGACTAAATAATTATCCCCTTCAGAATGGTTATACCTTTTAAAATTAAGTAGCTCGTGAAAATACTTCTTGAAGGTCAACGCTGCATATGCGCAACATTACACTCCCAGTGGACAACAAACCTCCCATTAAGGTAACTGCATGTCTTATATCCATTTTTTTTCACACACAAAGCTTTTGGTGCTTTCATTAACCACCACGCGCTAAGTGCCTGTATCTTATGTTCACAAGCAAACCCCCAGCGAACACCGGTTTTAGAAATCTAAGGTTTTCATCAGGCACACAGAGTATACAGAGACAGATTCATCAAAAGCCATTAACTGCTTCGCTGCTCACACTCGCACGTTCACTTCATCCCAGAGTAAGTAGACTCCACAGCCAACAGGGAAATTATCATGCAGTTTGCTCAAACACAAATAGAGACAAATAAAGGTGTCCTCATTTTCATTTTAAAAGGACACGAGCTGCAGCTGAGAAGAACTTGTTTAACAGACTGTTTAAAAATCTTAATGCCGAACACTTTACAGTCTGTGTGTGGGGGGGTTTCTTTTTATATTTGGCATTTTAACCAGTTAAACAGATGGGAAGGAGCATGTTCGGCTGCAGTTTAGTGAAGCAGTTAGATGGTGTGGTGAAATAAATTGCCCCAACTCACAAAGAAGCAGCGGCGATTCGATATCCAGTTTGTGGCTTGTAAACTGATTTATACGCACAGAGTGCAGCTAAAATATGTAATGAAAAAGCTCAGTGTGGGACAGAAGGATTCACAGTGTTTGCAGAAAGTGTTAAATTTGTATTTAGCAAATAAGGCTTTTTATTCAAGAGAAATTCTCATGTGTGAAAAGCTTTTTGTTAGTGGAGCTACAGATTAGACATTTCATTCATTAGTAATTCAGTATATGCTTAATACTCGACTAATTACTAAAACATCAGGCAATGTGGTACATAAAGATAGAGAAAGAATCATAGCCTAAAATGTACATTTATGACACACAGACTATTTCTTTTAATTTAATTCCAGGATCAATTTCCAAAAAAAAGCAGAAAAGGTTTAAAAAAATTAAATAAATGCATCTCATTAAGATTTTACAGGTCGTTAAAATAATTGGGTACAAAAAGATGTTTTTCAGACTTAAAAATAAAGGGAAGTTTAACACTGAGTAAACATTCCTAAAAAATATATGTAACTCAGCATAAAATAGCAAAGAATAAATGCTTGTCTGCTATACCCAACAGCAGTGGTGGTCATGCTTCCACTAATTGGCCAACAGCTAATAGTGGAACAATTGTTTGTTTAACTGATTAGCTTTTTCACTAACTTTGAAAACAGTAGACCATTTTCCACTAAATTAGGTTTTGCCAACTTTAAGTCTGTTAACATCTAACTAACAAGCTAACATCAACAGGTTTGTGTTAGCCCCACCAGTCTTCAGCTGGTAGGAGGCAGTCTTAGCCATTTGTGATTAGCTGTTTTGCTCATTTTTACTTGTTTAGTTCTGTTTTAGCTTCCACTAAATTCTTTTACATGTTTAGCTGTTAAGCATTGGCATCCACTAATTTTTACTTGTTTAGCATTATCTTCCACTTATTCTTTTTTTATTTGTTTAACTGTTTAGGTTTTGCAAAGCTATATTTTTAGTTAGCAGGTTATGAGTTAGCAAAGCTACCTTTTTGTTTAGCTGCTAACACACTGTCTAACAGTAAAAACATACCTAGTCTTGAAAACTTTCTATTTATAACATGCAAGATGGGAAATACTGATCTTCCACATCTGCATACCTTCAGGCAGAACTGCATCAAACAGCTGAGACTCTGTTGTTGAAATCATTGCATGAACTCAGAAATGCTTACAAAAATTATTGTAGGTGGATCTAAATGAGTCAAAACTCAACCCTTCAAAGAAGAAAAAATAAACCTGTATGCACGTTGCAGAAACCTCTCTGGGTTCAGGGTTATTTAGGATATAGAAGTGTAAAACTTTACTGTGGTTTAATGAATTTAAAAATTGTAATTCATTTTGGGAATCAAGGACACTCTGTCTTCCTGTATAAAGAGGAGCAACATCTGGCTTGTTCTCAGAGCAGAGCTTAAAGCCAGCATCAGAGATGCATCAGAACATGTAAAATCTTCATTGTGTTGTACTTGAACACTCAAGTTTCAGAGCAATGTATACTGTAATCCTCTCTTTGGGGAATTTTTTTTTGGTAATGTTTTATTGTTTCAGTGAGGCGATGTCAAACCATATTATTTGTATTTAACATCATTATTCTGTAGCAGATGAGTCAAGGTGTTTAAATGAAACGCCTGAAGTCAAGAGCTCAAACCAGGTCATGACATTTAGTTTTACGGGGAAAAACTGAACTTAAATAGTTGAACTCTGCAGTAGAACAGCTTTGACTTTCAAAACTCTGAAATGCAAATGGATGTAGAAGGGACTGATGATGCAACACAGCTGTAAATGTTCACCAATCCCAACAGTTTTGACATGTGTTAGACTTTCAGTTTCACCATTTACAAAAAGTACTTTAAAATCTAACCTGTTCATTCATTTTAAAACAAATCTAAATATAAGAGCTGTAAATTCTGAAAAAACAATTGTTTTTGCAAGACTATGTTATCTAGATTGAGCTCATTTGAGTTCTTTGAACTTGCAAATGTATACATGGTTAGTTATGATATTTGTTTGTTTCATTAAAGATCATTTGGATGAGGTAACTGATTGAAACTGTTTAGGGAAATATTGTGGATCTTCAAATCCGTTTTATTCATACTAAAAGAGTCTGATCTTTTGATGAAAATGTATCAACCGACTGAAAAAGGAATTTCTTTCAACACAACTAGAATGCCCGGTGAACGTTGAACTTTTTTTTAATCACTTCAGAAATGATCAACTGCTTTTAAAGAAAACCTTAACTTCATGAAAATGTTGGAGTATGAATAAATGGCCTCATGTTTAGCCCAACAATAAATTAATAGACGATGTCCTTAGTCTTTATAGAAAGAGTAGAGAATGAAAACCTTGATATACAATTTAAACAGTTCTCTCATCTGACTGACCTCCAAAACCAATTTGACAAGTAATTTAGGCAGCAACGACACTACTTTTTATTTTTTAGACTGATCCTCTCCATCTAGGTCTAGGTAAAAAGAAGACACTCACAACAAAATGTGAAAATACCCGTTATATGGTAGTCAGGGTGTGATATCGTCAACATTAACACTGAAGGATTCTGAGCACGGTTAAAACAACATCCTGAAACAACTGTAGCTCAATTTTTCTTTGTCTTTGTTCACAATTTCCTCTCAAGCTTTAACGGTTTCAGCACTTGATCAAAGCTTTATGGTGTAAGAGTCTGGACAAATCAAGATAGATGCAGGGAAAATAACTGGTAAAATCAACTCTTGTTGTTTTTTGACTGCAAAAAGCAATAGATATCTTGCACTAAGTAGGCTGTTACATCATTGTTTCCAAAAATCACAGTTTGTAGAGCATATATCATGCGTCAAACTCAAGGCCCATTAATACTTTATTTGGCCCCAATGATGATATTTATTTTGAAGTCAAATAATTTGATTTTTTGTGATTTTTTTTAAAGCTATTTTGCTGGATTGTGAAAATAAATGAAAAGCTGTTGATAGAGAGTAAGTCAGACATACATTTCTGTTAGGCAATATACTGTACCTATGTTATGATTAAATTATTATTTATTTAATTTAATGTTGTTAATTGTCCCTCAGTGAGATAATTATTTTTCTTTATTTTTTCCATTGCACTTGTGAATGTGCCCATTTGAGGCACCCACAGAGCAGCTGGAGGTTAGAGGCCTTGCTTAAGGGCCTAAAGTCAGGCAAATGAGGGTTTCTCATCCACAATTTTCTTTGTCCCAGTGATCAGAATGTCGCCAATTCAACTTGTTTAGCTTCTGCGCCACCACTCCCCAATAAAATATAATTAGAAAAAGTTAACGTGTATTCTATTTTAAAAAAAATTATGTACCATTTACAAATCCAAGATTTGTAATAGATATTGACCCCCTGTGTACATGGATACACAAGAATGAAAATGTTCAAATTATAATTTAATTGTATTACACTTTCTTTGCAAATAATTTGTTAAAGTGTGGAAACACTTGGTTGTCTCGTGTGGCTGCAGGGTCTGTTGAAACTATTCTTACACTCTTCACTAATCTTTGTCTACCACAGGCCAAATGTGTGCCTGTATTAGACAAGAAGTGACTACAGAACATCAGCAGCGTGTCCACGGCTCGCTGCCATTGCCACATCGGATATCGATGTAGTTCTCCCCGCAATGTTGAGGCTGTCCTTCAAACTTTTCGTGATGGATTTTTAGAAGCCTATCTGAGGGAAGTGAAACGGAGAGGAGGGAGCGATGAAATGGGAAGCTTGTAACAGAATAAGAGAGCCAGGAGAAGGAAGTTAGATATAACTGCCTTTCAGAATGGAGAAGTGCATTAAAGTGATGTTCCCTGAAGTTTGAGGAAGGTTAAAGACACGTGCAGAATATTACTGACTTATTTCAGAAAACAGCATTTACTAAATCTCCCCTAGCAATCAGATTATTGTTGTTAACAATTTGGCCCACGAACGTTGAGTTTGACTCTAAAATGTAAAAACCTTGCGTGAGAACACAACTGTCACTGGTTCAATGTTTTTAAAGTTCTTTTAATTTATAGTCTGCCTCACATCTGCACACTACAGTGTTATGTCAATTTGAAGTGAACAACTGTGATTTGAAGTGGCATCAGACCTCTTTAATATTTTTTTCATGGTTAAAATAATTATACCATAATTACCTTTCACTCACAGTCAGTGTTGCAGCAGGTTTCTGCAGAAACAGATCACAACAGTATGAAAAACTAAATAAACATACAAATGGCTTAGTCATTCAGCACAATTCATTTTTCTAATTCTTTTTAACACAAATCTGGCCACACTGACCTACAATGTTTAAAGAGTGTCAAATTAGGATTTTTATGATTAAATCCTGAAGTAAATATATTTAGTTTCTGGTATTTGAGAAATACAATGAGATTTTTTCRGCTGTACTATCAATATTACTTTTATTTATTAACCTTTTAATTGATAATTTATTTTAAAATTTAATTAATTAAATTAATTAAGACAAATCACACTGAGATCATAGATCTCTTTTATAACCACCTGGAGGCAACATACACTGGCATGTTTTTCAGTGGTGGGCACAGCTTAACTTCGCTAACTCTAAATTCTCTAACTAAAATATAGCTTTACTAATGCTAAACTGTTAAACATGTAAAGAAATTAGCGGAAGCCAACACTAAACAAGTAAAATTTATCAGAAGCTGACAGTAATATTTGACCACTAACAGCCAAGGTGATTGTCACTCAGTCTGCATCATGGATCTTTGTCTCCTTCCAGCTGAAGGCTGGTGGGACTGACACAAACCTGTAGTTGTTAGCTGTTTGTGGACCTGGTAAAATCTAATTTAGCAGAAGCTAATTGGTCTGCTAACGGCTTTCAATGTTAGTGAAAAAGCTAATCTGCTAAATGAAATATATAGCTTTCCTAACTCTAAACCACTGAACCATAAAAAACTATTAGCGGAAGTTAACGCTAACAGCTAATCGCTAACTGCTAAGATGTCTATCACTAAGTTTGCGTCATGGATCTTTGTCTCCTTCCAGCTGAAGACTGGTGGGACTGACAAACCTGTTGATGTTAGTTTGTTAGCTGTTAGTGGACTTAAAGTTGGCAAAACCTACTGTAGCAGAAGCTAATTGGTCCGCTAAAGGTTTTCAAAGCTAGAGAAAAAGTTAATCTGCCAAAAAAAAGTTTCACTATTAGCTGTTTGCTGATTAGTTGAACTGTCCCCAGAGATTGAATCTAGACCCCTTTAGCTGTGAAGCAACAGCATTAACTACTAATCCACCCTGCTGCACAGTGCTGACAGGTTATCACTGAACAAACTCACTGTCAAACAGGGGCTTCAGAGATGCTCAAGTCTGTCTTTTCCTCCGTCGTACATCAACACTGATGTGAAGGAGAAGATGAAACATGAAGAAATGAGCAGTTCTCAAACTCTAGTGACCCATAAACACTTTGGTCAGAAACATTTCCCTCCATCTTTTTTGACTTTTATGCATAAAAGAGAAGCACACAGAACGTCTTATTCCTGAGGGAGACAGAAATCACTCTGCTTTTGTTAGCCAGTCAATGACAACTGCACTGCCTGCAGCCATCCGGCAGAATGTGACTTTCAGTGTGGCCTCTGAGCAGATACATCCACTGCTTTGCTTTCCTTTTTGCTTTAAATAATTATCACAAAATATAGCTTTTTTTCCCTTGTTGAAGTAGAGGGGACACACACACATTTAAACGAGTTAGAGACACACGATGCACCTGATTGCTGCTGACGACTGCACTGCAGCCATCCAAAAAGAAAAAAAAAGTACACAAACTGCCAAGAAATCTGTTGGAGAAAAGTGTGCAGATGTGCAAATATGAGCTGTAAGCAATTCATCTTCTTACAGATTTCCCAGATGGTGGTACAATATGCATGGAATTATGACAGGAGCATTCATATATGTGTTGTTAGCAGCCTCGTTGGGCTTTACAGATGGAGGATATAAAGAGAGGTCTGCTGGCTGTTTTTACTGCTGTTCATCTTTGTCCTAACACGAGCTCTTAGACATTCTGATGAAAGAGGCTAAGAAAAGAACAAAAAGATCTTTCATTTCTCTAGTCTCTTCTCTGCCAGAAGAAAATTTGCAATATTACTTCTCCATTTCCATCCACCTTTAGCTTTATAAGACTGATTGGAGTAATTTTTGAGAGCTGTGAATTTTTTTTTCTGGCCGCTGTAGAGAGTTGGAGGCAAAGGAAGCGAGCTGGCGGGAGTCTGGGATTTTGAGTTGCAAGGCTAGGGACCAAACTTTGAGTACTTTGTAATCATGTGGCTGCCTAACCTCGGTGTTAGTGAGGTTGATGAGCATGCGTCCCTGCTGACACACACACACACACACACACACACACACACACACACACACACACACACACACACACAC